AAACCCCAAACTAGAACAGTCATGTTATTATTTAACTTCTTGTATAGCTACAATAAATCTTTGATAGCATTCCACATTGCGCGTCCATTCATAAACATGTAATAAAAAATCTGAGCTGAAGTAGTGTTAACACTAAACTTCTCCATTGAACCGGATTTTAAGACTTTCCACAAAACTTGATAAAATTTATGAGACCTAGGTTTTACGGCTAGCCTGAGATAAGTACCATCATCGTTAAATTTAGGCTTAGAAAATGACCGAATATTATTTTAGGTCGCCTATAAAGTTCAGTTGTACGAATAAAAACAGAAAAAATGAAATTATCGTAAAAATATGTTTCCACCATCCGCTAGGTTTGCGCATTGCGGTCTAGAGAAAAAATATTTTAAGTCCCATTTGTAGGCACTCGGAGAAAAAACTTAGTAATAATAATGACACAGAAAGTAATGAGATAAATTTTAAAGACAACATTGTTGCCTATTACAAATCGCCCACATTTTTTTGGAATGCTTGAATATATAAAAGTATTAATCTAAAAACTCTAACTATCTAGAAACATCGAGCTAAGTATCTACCTTAAGGCGATTTAACACGACGCTACCGCCATCTACTAAGAGCAAAAAACCGTAATTGTCCTAAAACAGATACACGTCTAGAAGTATCGATTACGTTTGTAGCCAAAATAAAATATTCGTGTAATCATGTGTACAACGTGTGTGGTAGTGATAGAACCTACATTTGAAACAAAAATATATTTACGCAACACAAATACAATATTTTTGGAACCATTCAATGAAAAAGTGTATCTAGAAAAAGCTTTATGAAGAAGAAAGTCTGGAAAAATAAAAATACACGTCATTTTATCGATATCAGTGTTTCTACAAGAAAATTGATGTTTACGTCATAGATGTGTTCTTTCTGATAGACGTTTCGAATTCGCTTACCTTGTACATACATGTGTTTTTATATGAACGGTATATATATATATATAATATCTAGTCCGCTTTATTTAGATACTAAATATTATATTAGTCATCACATAAAGTTTCTTTATAAAACGGAACACATGTTGCTTGAATGAAGTAGAAATGAGAATTGCTAAAGTATACATAGGTATATGACAATGGATTAAATTTTTCTTAGCTATTAAATAATTATTAAAGACAAGATGGTCTCAATACCTTCTAAACAGTGAAACCAATCTTTAGGAAATAAAGAAATTGGTGAAAATTTGAGCTTGAAATAATAGGACTGATTAAAAATAAACAGACAATCAAGAGCCATAAGGTTTCAATTTTAATAAGTAAACATTATCCGTATGCTGAGTATTATCGTATATCCCGAATCCATTTATGACCCAGTTTACATTAAAGGGTCTTCAGATGGAAGTAATACTTTATATAGGTACTGTTTTTGGTTCAAGTAAAACAAGTAAATTTTTTTCTGCAAATAGGCTACAAGGCAGCACTTTGACACGTCAATTTTATCAAGCGAACAATGAGGTCGGTTCGTTTATGGGCCTGTTAAGTACTTTGCTAGTATCTATATTATCTTTAATAAACATAACATCACGCCTTTTTTCCCCGAAGGGGTAGGCAAAGCACTTAATGCCATTGTACAATGTAACACCCACTTTTCACTATTTACCTCTATGTTATGAGTCCCATGTAATAGGGGGTGAGCCTATTGCCATATACCGGGCACAATGCCAGACTCCGTGCTACTACTAAGATTTTTAAAAACCCAGTAATACTTTGCCCAACCCGGGAATCGTACCCGAGACCCCTTGCCCGGCAGTCCCACTTGCGACCAGTCGGCGGATGAGGCAGTCTATTATCTTTAATCTTATCTTTAAATAAAATAATAATCACTACATGGCAAATTTTGTTATTTTGAAGGAAATATTAAGGATCATTTAATTTTGTCGACGGTAGTAACAAATGTCTCTCGCAGGTATAAAAGCCAACTAAGGTACTAAGGTGCTGATATAATAAACTTATTTTTATTACTTACATTTGATTAATTGGTTAGTCAATAGTGTTTTAGTACATTAAGAATTCTAAGGAATTTTAATCAAATGAAAAAGATAGAGGAAAATCTGTAGGCAAAAGACAGATCACTGGATAAGTTTAAAACTAAAAGAAACTTTTCGAACTAGAACTGATCTGTGCGGACATTCGTGGGTAGATTAAAAAAGTTTTTAAAAAGCCTCGCGTCTTGGGTACTTCGATTCTATACCATTATTGAATGAAAGAGCTACGAGTAACTAGTGTTTTAAAAATTCAATCAAAATGTTAGTTACAACGCAAATGTTTGTCAGTTATTTTAATAGTTCTTTTTTGTATATGTATATCACTACATAGCATAAAACAAAGTCGCTATCCATCGCCTGTGTCTACCTATATATGCTTAGATCTTTAAAACTGCGCTACGGATTTTGATACGGATTTCTTTAATAGATAGAGTGATTCTTAAGGAAGGTTTATAAGTATAATAAATGGGCCTTATAAGTATAATAAAATACCGGGGCGGGTCGCTAGTTTCTCTTATATAAGCTACATGATAATTCGTAAACACATAAAATATTAGTTTTGGTTAAAAATAATTGAATGTTCTGTATCTATAAAATATCGCAACATCAATACATAGTATAAAACAAAGTCGCTTTCGCTGTATGTCCGTATGTATGCTTAGATCTTTAAAACTACGCAACGGATTTTGATGCGGTTTTTTTTAATAGATAGAGTGATTCTTAAGGAAGGTTTGTATGTATATACATATTGCACCCGTGCGAAGCCGGGGCGGGTCGCTAGTTTTATATATATTTAATAAATGAATACCAAAACTCAATAACTGATGGATAAAGATTCGCCATTGCGTATTTATGAATAAGTAATTTATTATTTACAGCGTCGTTGGCCGACTGGTCGATTTCCGAATCGGGTAAAGTATTATTATGTTTATGTACCTGATTGTATGTACCTACATATAATGTATTATTGCATTTTGACATAGTCATGACTCAGTTACGGATGTATCGATTTGATTCGGTAAGTTTATTAATTAGGTGATTTTTTTGTTCTTGATTAACACTCATTGCCGAAACTGGTATTTTAATTATGTAAAGAAGTAATAGTACACAACAATAGTTCTAGATTTTCACTGAATTAAAAAAGCGATAACTTTTGATGCGTAACGAGTTTTTAGTAGCAGTTATTAATCTATTATTGTTATTTAGTGTTAATAAGAAGTTATAAATCGCGTCCTTGTCGATGATACGGGTAAAATTGCGCATATGCTGTATAGAAATAGGAAAGTAGTGTATATTACTATGTCAAATGTAACATCCTGTCGCGGAGAACCTAACGGGTAACCGGGGCTCCGGCTCGACGTGCAGGAGAAGGAACGGGGTGGTTTTTAGTCAGTAAGAGTCTGACACTCCCTTCCGCCTCACCCAGGCGGGAGCAGTCATTCGATGATTGTCGCCCCTTAAAAAAAAATGTAACATCCAATTCTTGTATCTTCTATGGTATTAGAAAATGTACTCATTTGTTACCAATTATGACTAACTATATTAATTGGTTATATCCGAAATTGCAGCCAATTTCATTTTCACCAACTAGACTCTCTTTCTTACTAGGTTATCTACACACAAAACATTCTCTTTCCTTCAGCACAACTAGACCTTATATACTTTACATGTTGTATTTATTTTACCTTATCTGGGTAATTGGGCTAAAATTTAAATTTTAAATTGGATCATTAGCATGGCTTATATCATTTATTTGGTATTTGTGAGGCTGTTCTTTCATTTTCATGGGCAACAGATTATTCAGTAGCATTTTCGAGACTGCAGTTTAGTTACTTAAAGTTGTTTAAGTTAAGTAAGGCTTGTCGAGATTGGTTTATAGATGGGCGACTTATGATCTTAAGACTCAGCTTCTAAACAACGCCACTGACCACATTCAAAAAATGAATTATTGTACTTTTGTATTAAACCATTAAAGTTGATAAAAAATCATTGAATTTCTATACAAATAATAATATTTATAAAAAGAATGCTGACAGGTTGAAATGATAATTTATAATAGTTCTTTAACACGTCAGAATAAATTATTCAATTTAATTCAACTTTAAGCATGACTGTACATTTTAGTTTAATCTCTCGAAGCGTTGATGTGTGAACAAGATACTTCAGAAAAATGGAAAATCTGAATATAGTTTATTAATATTCAGTTTCTTGTAACTGGATATTTTATGATATACTGACATGTGTAATCGACTAATTTGAATTATGATCTTCTAAAATTGTAAAGGTATGAATAGACTACAACACTATACACTCAAATCGAATGTTTCTGTGTAAACACGAGTGTCTGCAATTGGAAAATTTATTGTGACGCAATAATAAGTGTAACATTATTCGCCGTCTTATTATCCGTATAAGGGCCGATTTTTAATCATCACTTAACCTGTAGAATAAAATTGACATTTGACAGTATTAGCGCCGGTTTCACCACCATTATATAAGTACCCGATAAACTTATGTGACAGATAGATCATACAAATTACGTTCTTAATTCTTTATCTGGTAGATAACGGCTATCCAGATATTGTAAAACATGCCTTTAGTATGGAAGAACTGTCAAATATTTAAAGTTATTCTTCAAGTGTGAACAGTACCAACATTAATGTATAACATTTATGTCTGAATTTGTATCGTAGTCTATTCAGACCTTAGGTTTTAGTTCTTCCTACAGATATTCAAATAGGTACAATTTAGATACCTTTAGAATGTGGCAAAAAAAGCTTGTCCTCGATCAGGAGACCTATAAAATAATAAGCTAATTTACCGTAAACGCCTCTAATTTACATATGAAAAATAACTTAAATTCATTATCTAGCAGTAACCTCCAAAATGCACTGGTATCAATTTAGAAAAAACTGAGGCATTGAGATCCTTCTAGTATTTTTCATCATTAATGGTGCAACTTCTCCAGCAGCCACACTATATAAATGTCTCCAAACATTGCCATTTAGTGTTAACACAGAGAGTATGTACCGTGAAATATTGTTGTGTTTAAGTGATTATTAGTACAATAATTGAATGGGTAAGCAAATATCTTTTATGTTTATTTATTTTGTACTACGGACTTTAAGATCATCTAAGATGCAGTTGTTTGCGTAGCAAGAAGACATTTCTCGTTGTCTCGGCAATAAAAAAAATATAGAGTGTCCATTATAAGAGATTATCACACTTAAGAAACTCCTCCATCTAGTAGTTACATAATTTTTTGTTTCCAAATTTTTACACGGAATAACAATGACTCAATCAACAACCAAAGGGCTGATAAGAATACAATAAGGAAATTCATGAATAAAAAACGTATTAAATCGTTAATAGAGTTTCATTTGGAACGTACACTTTGAGTCAATTAACCAATAGGTAGGTTATATACACAAACTCCTATGTATATACACGTGTATGTATTTTATTACCTCGCGTGATAAACACCAGTCATTTTCTTTCTTTAATAATTGAGGCTAAACGTAAAAGTCATTAATCAGGCTAATCTGTATATTGAACTCGTTTAAATTTTATGAATGAGAATAACTAATCAACGGCAAAGGTTAGGTTGTGGGAGACAATAAAAAATATACGAGGTTTTTGTTGTTTTGTTGGACAAATTACTGTTAATCGAATTCCTTTTTCAAGTGTAAAGGGCAGAGCTTGCTAATTGGGTCTCGGAAAATAGTATTATGTTAGTATATTCATATGAACTGAAAAGGTATACATATACATATAAGTATGTTCTATACTTTGATTCTGAAGATGATAAAATATAACGTTTCTCTATTTTATGAAATGCATAATTATTATTAAAAAGTTTCTTTTTTAATTTGCTTTATATTAATTGCAAATAGGTTTTATTTACGATAACGATAGGACTCATAGAGTTGGATGCTTATATATCACCTATTATTGCATAGAAAAAATAACGTAAAATAATTTCTTTATCGATAAAAATATCTCAAGCAAAAACATCATCCATTTGAAGAATTTGCAAAACATTCACACGTATAGCACGTCATAGGAACGCCGTACCCTCGCTTCCTGGGACGACTGAGTTCCCATAACTTCCCCGTACACGAACATTACACGCAGCTGAGCTTAGTATGCTAGCTAAGGAGGAAGTGGAGCGCGTGACAAAACTAAACTCCTCAGCAGCGCAGCCGCCGCGAGAGATGCTCCGGGTATCGGGAATCTCGAGACGATCTCCGGTCGCCGAAAGCAGACGGCGAGCACGGGAGACTCGCCGCCCGACCAGAGTGCCAAGCACAAATAACTATCGCATTCGTAACTTAATAGTATCGAGCGCATTCGACGCTTTAATTGGCCGGCTCCAGTAAACCAACCAATCAGAATGCCGAACTCGCTCGATACCGTTACAATACGAATGCGATAATTATTCGTGCTTGGCACTCAGAACCAGACCCGAGCGTACGGCACGTCGCGTTCCACGCCCATCTCAAAGAACCATCAGACCACCGCACATGGGGCCCAACAGGGCTGATGTTGATGTGGAACGGAGGACTTAACGGGTTACCTCCGGTTCGAAGTGCAGGAGTACGAACGTGGTGATTTTTAGTCAGTTAGAGTCTGACACTACATCCCACCTCACCCGAGCGGGAGAAGTTATTGTATGTTTTCCCCCTCAAAAACAAGCCGAGCTTAGTACGGCCGCTTTGGAGATGTTAGATCAAGGTCAGAATTGTAGGTAAGGGTAATTATCCCATCCCCAGTCTTTTGTTTGCAAACGTTTCTACTAATTCACCCTAAAGTGGAATATAAAAGTTTGTCCTGTTGTTTACACGTTCTAAGTAGTTGTTTACATAAACGATTATAGTATTTAGTGAAATGTGTTTTCGGAAGGTTTCCATTGTTACTAGAGGTTGCCAGTGAAGTTTTTACTCTTCTACAAGACCAAGTACTTGTGGTTTATATTTCAATATTAGAAAACTTAACATTCTACACGGCAATGTAACTGAGGGACACAAAAACTCCAAGAAACTTTTAAAATTATACTACACCTAACAAGAATAACTAGCACCTGTAGGATCAGGGTCCGACATTATTTGAAAATAAAACAAAGGGCTTCACACAATCACTTAGTTTATTTCGATTAAATGAACTTACTTTCACATTAATTTTTTAATTATAATAATTGAATAATTCAGCACTGATTATATAAAGGAAACACTCAAATAAAACCAACAATAAAATTACTCAGCGATTGCGTAACGTGTGAACTGGGCAACGATCGACGAACGACTGACTCGAGCTTGCGCTTGCGCTGCTTTATATATCACTCGGTGGTGGGGTTGAAGTGACGTCGGTCAGTTGTTTGTTCACTGCTCGCCCATTACATTCGCAGTTTACAAAATAATGACGGCGGCGCCGACACGGCCATACTGACGTACGCTCGTCCTCGAGCGTTTTCCGAGCATCTGGGAATAAGATAACAACCCGTTCGATCATCCTGGCATTTCTAATCTCTATCTAGTATAACCTTTAACAAAAGCTTTCAATATTGTGCGGGTTCGGTTAACCCTTCAGCTTACCACAACTACTACGTTATCATCACTCATCAGTATTAGAACTGGAGACGATTGTGCTAGGCCGGATAAATATCCCTTTAGCGCATGCTAGACTGGACATCAGTCCCTTTAGCGAATGCTAGACTGGACATCAGTCCCTTTAGCGAATGCTAGACTGGACATCAGTCCCTTTAGCGAATGCTAGACTGGACATCAGTCCCTTTAGCGAATGCTAGACTGGACATCAGTCCCTTTAGCGAATGCTAGACT